CAGATGTGCTAGGTTTCCAAAGGAAACATTAGGCAGTGCCCGACTGTGTTCCAGGAAGTGTGGAAAGCACTCCTCCCATTCCTAGATGAGGAAAGTGGGACATGAAGAAATGACCCATCTCACTGAGCGTCACACAGCTAGGAAGATATGATCGGGCCCTCCTCTGTCCAGCCTAAAGTACATGCTCTTCATCTCTTTGAAACTGGACCAAAACAGGATTAGGATTAAAGATAAGAAGATGCCTTCAGGTTTTCAGTGTAAAACTCTGGCTTTTGCTCTTTCCTGGGAGATGGGAGGCCCCTTGCTTGGTGCCTTTTCTAGTGGAAAGACTCTAGGAAACATATTTTGTTGCTCTAGCATCACTGTGCTACTAAACTGAGCACAGCCCGCTGAGGCTGCTGTGGCATAAAAGAAGCAAAAGACTTGCGTGCAGACACAAGAGCTCCGGTTCTGCCTCTGACCAGCCTGGGACACTGATCAAGCCGCTTCACCTCTGTACCTGAATTTATTTTCTAAGTGGAGTGCGGCATAGAGGGCAGAGCTTGGTTGGATTAGTTCATCTCTGAGGTCTTTCCCAGGTCTAAACTTGCATGAAAGTACACTCCTCCAGATAGATGGCATGGCTATGGAGGAAACTAAGCAATAAAGCCAGTGGACAAAGCCAGTGTCTGGGGACAGGACTGTTTTCCCATCGCCTTGAGATGAAAATGAATGTTGAAACTCGAATGAATGTGGCTGAGTGTTCAATGATAAGCAAAGCTAAGATTTAGCGCTAACCCTGTGGACGCAGTTTAAAAATGTAGATAATTTTGCTTTTAGAAAGACAGTCTGGACAACATGTTGAAACCCGAGCTCTAAAAAAAATACAAAACTTAGCCAGGCATGATAGCTCGAGTCTTGTCGTCCCAGTTGCTAGTGGGCTGAGGTGGGAGAATTGCACAAGCCCGGGAGGTCGAGGCTGCAGTGAGCTAAGATCACACCACTGCACTCCAGCCTGGATGACAGAGTGAGATCCTCTGCTGAAAAAAAAATATATGTGTTATTAATTTAGTAGCCTATAAAGTATATCTGACCAGCCATAATTATTTTTCTTTAGATCACAGAAAGGCAGTACAAATAAGAATATTTTCTTTTCTTTTCTTTTCGAGACAGAGTCTCACTCTGTCACCAGGCACCAGACTGGAGTGCAGTGGCACAATCTCGGCTCACTGCAACCTCCGCCTGCTGAGTTCAAGCAATTCTTCCGTCTCAGCCTCCCAAGTAGCTTGGACTACAGGTGCACGCCACCACGCCCAGCTAATTTTTTTATTTTTAGTAGAGACGCGGTTTCACCATGTTGGCCAGGATAGTCTTGATCTCTTGACCTCGTGATCCACCCGCCTTGGCCTCCCAAAGTGCTGGGATTACAGGCTTGAGCCACCGCGCCCGGCCAAGAATATTTTCTAAATCGAAAGTACAACTTGAAGTGACGAAAACTTTTCACTCTCTGATTACTATAAAAGCTAGTCACAAGCTTCTTTCAAAAAAGAAAAAAGCAACCCCCATTTCCTAAATCTATATCACACTCAAGTCTCTTACACTACATCAGGATGAAAAGGAATTTGGCTGATGGAATAGGTCTTGAACACCTCATTACATGTTTGCTTTAAAGCTTTGCAATTGTAAGAACTTGTCAATATTACATTTCTCAAAGCAATTATCAACTTCTTATAAGCCCAATTCAAACTATAAATACAAAGAAGAATCTCGTGGGCTTCCACGATTCCTCCCAGCCCCAATATGTTCCTCTCATTAATGCATTAATTTTATACCTTCAAAGACACTGAAGCCACTGAAAACAGAACAAGTTCTTCAAATCAAAGCCAACTGGAAAGTAAGCCAGCTTTGTTAAGAAAACTCTGATGATCTCTAGGGCCTTTTACAAATTTTAAAGTTTTATATGTACATGTATGGATATATTCATCCCCAGCCTAATTCCAATTCCTATAAGGATGTTGGGCAACTTGGAGTAATGGAGAGAAATGGGAAGCTTTTTCAAATATCCATCCTCTCTGAATCCTCTGCTTCCACATCTTACGCCCAGGGTCTGGAATAGAGATGGGTTATGGTGGGGGTTGGAGGGAGTGTAATATTTTTAGACAGTGTTTTATGGAGATACAATGCACATTCAGTAAAAAGCACAACTCTTAATTGTAGATGCAGCTTGAAGACTTTTTCATACGTATACATGCATGTGACCACCAGCCAGGTCAAGGTATAGAAAATGTCTATCTCCTCAGGAATTCCCTGTGTGTGACCTTTTAGTCAGTGTCACCCTTCACCACCATAGATTTGTTTTGCTGGTTCTTAAACTTCATATAAATGGAATCAGTATGTGTGTGTGTGTGTGTGTGTGTGTGTGTGTGTGTGTGTGTAGTAACATATAAATTTGGGGGAAGAGGAAACACCAGAGCTCCCCCTCTCTGCACATGCCTAAGCCATGTGAGGACGCAATGGGAAGCCTGCAACCTAAGGAGAGAGAACTCACCAGAAACCAACCCTGGCAGCACCCTAGCCTTGAACTTTCCACCTCCAAAACTCTGAGAAAATTAATTTCTGTTGTTTAAGCACATAGTCTGTGGCATTTTGCCACTGTTTTGTTATTGCAGCTCAGTCAGACCTATACATTGAGGTAAGCAGTTGGTTTGTGTGTGCGTGTGTGTGTGTGTTTGTTTAACATGGTGGAAATAAACTTGTGACTCCAAGTACCCAATACTCATGTGTGTACTAGGCTATGATGTACCTAAGTACATGATAGAGCCAAGATTCAAAGCTGGACCCTTCTCATTCCAGTTTGTCTTCTTTCTATTCCACCTTGTTGCTGTACAGATTATTCAGCACTGCCATATGTCAGGAATAGCATTAGGAGGTAGCAGAAAGTATATGGTGAAAACAGAAAATAAAAACATTAGCAGGACAGTGTGTGACTTTTAAATTCTCCATCACCATAGTTTACCAGGGGACAACTCGTTCTTCGCTGATATCAAATTGGGCTAATGGGAAAAGAGATATCTCCGGTACGTGTCTCCTGCTGTTTTAAATCCTTCTTTTTACATGTTCTTCTGAGTGAGGCCATTACAAACAGGAATTAAAGCTGCTGCTGTAAGATCAGAGAACACGTCCTTTTGAAGGACTTTGACACCTAGGTACTATTTATTTTGTTAGTTTCCAAGATTCCTATGAGTTAATGTCCTTACCTATTAGCCACATGGAGTCCATGAAGTGGCCGGTTAGGTGAAGGGGTCCTTCTAGCACACAGAGGCTGCCTCTGGCTGACCTGAAGTCACATTTTCTTGACTTTCTCAGAGTGTGGAATAGTTTCTGTTCATCATGTCAATCTCCAAATATCAGAAATACTCTAATTTCTAAAAATAGTTAGTTATGAATTTCTCATCCATGAACTGAGCAAAACTGTTCTTAGTCCTGTTTCTATCTCTACCTGGGCCAGCTCCCAGGAAGATACAGAGCTATGGCCAAGGAGCCATCAACACCTTCACAGAGTTGCATGAGAGCAGGTAAATTATATCTGTAATTAACCCCATTTAATCCTCTTCAAAATAACTGCTTGCTGCCATTTTGTGGCATGACAGTAAGCATAGATGCCAGGTGAAATCATTGCTCATAGGAGATAAAGTGATGATATTGGAAGAATATGTGCTTTTTTTTTTTTTTTTTGAGACAGAGTCTCTCTCTGTCACCCAGGCTGGAATGCAATGGCATACTCTCGGCTCACTGCAACCTCCCCCTCCCAGATTCAAGCAAGTCTCCTGCCTCAGCCTTCCAAGTAGCTGGGACTACAGGCATGCGCCACCATGCCCAGCTAATTTTTGTATTTTTAGTAGAGACAGGGTTTCACCATGTTGGCCAGGATGGTCTCAATCTCTTGACCACGTGATCCACCCGCCTCAGCCTCCCAAAGTGTTGGGATTACAGGCGTGAGCCACCACACCCGGCCAATATGTACATTTTTTTAGTCCTTTCCCACCAAACTTGGAAGAAAAATATCTGAAGCTGGGAGTCTTTTCTTCTCATAATGACAATGTTTAGAACAAAGGGGCCAGTCCAGATGTGGCCCTCTTGCTGACACTGTCTCTGGCAATATTTGTAGCTGCACTGACCTTCTGGAACTGTATCTCATTTGAAGGAAAAGACTGAGAAAGCTGGATTTAAGTCTCATGGGCCACTGACTTTTCTCCTTATATTAGTCCTAGATGCCAAATTTAAATAAAGCCCTAAATAGGTGGCAATCCATTCATTTTTCTTTTATATCCTTAGTTCTGGGCTTCTAAAAAAATTATTATGCATGGACTCTGAAACTTAATCTTATTTTTTGAATGTACCTTAAACACCTAGATGGATGAAGCTGTCAACACATAATAATGCAAACCAGATCCAAGAAGATAAAAACTGGATAGCCTTCCAGGCTGGTTACAAATTCAGAGGTGGCTGGAAAGTCAAATAAGAACAGGGATGCATTTGTTTCTGATACCAGCAGCTGTGGCCAGAACACCCCTCAGAGAGGTATGGGACATGAAAGGAATCTTCTGCTGTGATTAGCGACAAGGAACAGCCTTCACTGGGGAGGAAGGATCGAGTTGTGTTTGGGGTGCCTTTCTAAAGAACATGGCCACCCCAGCCTGAAGGGGTTGAGAAAGGGTTACCCACGGGCATGGGCAGGGCTGGGCAAGAGAATCAATCCAACAGCACTAAATCAAAACCTCCCCCAAGGCCGGCTGCTTCCTGGCTGCCTCCCCTAGAATGAAGGGGTGACTCAGAGTGTGACTGAGTAACTCCCACGGACCTGGACAAGGGCAATTAGAGGACTGGTTTGGAATGACCACTGAGCATTCAAAGATACTTCCTGTGGCCAGCAGAGAAGAGGCAAATTGCCTGGGAAACTCAGTTTTGAAATGTCTTCTGCCTCAGCTGTGAGGCAGGTGTGCCTTCTAAAATAATAACCCATGGGTCCAAAGCTGAGAGCCTTGAGACCACCGGCCAAAACCAAGGAGGCAGGAAAGAGGAAGTCCTCCTCTCAGCTCACGGCCAGCAGCCCGAGGAAGACTCCCAAGTTGGCGAAGAAAGGAAAAGCAGCTCGTGGAGGGAGAGGCAGGAAGAAAAGTGCCGCTAAAAAGGTGGCGGCTGTGGGAGCCACTGAGGCAGGCAGCGGGCCAGCACACCACCTCCCCGCCTCCACCGTGAGCCTCCGAGCCAGGAGCTTCCCCAGTGCAAGCTGCAGCCGAAGGAGAAGCCAGTGAGTGAGGCGACCCAGTCCGACCCACTGAGTCAGGAGACCCAGCTGGAGGAACCACTGAGTCGGGGGTGATCACCATCTCCACCACCACCCTGAGCAGTGACTAAGCTCAGGCCCAGCCGCCAGGAGACCTGAGATCTCCCCAGCGTGGTGCCCCACGTGGTGATGACAATAAAACGAATGTGTTGCTAAATACATACATACATACATACATACATACCCTTAGAAGCCACAAAGAGCTGATTAACATATGAAAGCACTCGCTGGACTTCATTCCATGATGGACACCTCTGAGTTCATGTGATGTGCAAGACAAAAATTTTCAAACGGTGAAAGAGAAACTGCCTTTTTTTTTTTTTTCTTAGAGATTCGGTATTGCTCTGTCCACCAGGATGGAGTGCAGTGGTGCAATCTCAGCTTACTGCAACCTCTGCCTCCCAGGCTCAAGCAATTCCCCTGCCTCCACCTTGAATGGCTGGGATTACAGGCATGTGCCACCATGGCCGGCTAATTTTTGTATTTTTTGTAGAGATGGGGTTTCACCATGTTGGCTAGGCTGGTCTCGAACTCCTGACCTCAGGTGATCCTCCCGCCTCAGCCGGCCATAGTGCTGGGATTACAAGTGTGAGTCACCACACCTGGCTGAGAAATTTACTTTTTTAAAAAAAATTTATTTATTATACTTTAAGTTCTGGGGTACATGTGTAGATCGTGCGTAAGTTTTGTTACATAAGGTTTGTTACATAAGTATACACATGCCATGGCGGTGGTTTGCTGCATCCATTGTCCCATCATCTACATTAGGTATTTCTCCCAATGCTCTTCCTCCCCTAGGCCGTCACCCCCAAGGCCCCAGTGTGTGGTGCTCCCCTCCCTGGGTCTGTGTGTTCTCATTGTTCAACACCCACTTATGAGTGAGAACATGTGGTGTTTGGTTTTCTGTTCTTGTGTCAGTTTGCTGAGAATGATGGTTTCCAGGAGAAACTGACTGTTTAGGGACAGGTGAAGCCAAAGGCTGTGGCTGCTGGCTATTTTTCTGGACTTATTTTAACTGCTTTTCCTTGGTTCACTCTGCCCTAAGAGTTTGGCTGTTTTTTTTTTGTTTGTTCGTTTTTGATCTGCCATGTACGTTCCCCCTTCAGGATCTTTGCACTGTGTGATTTTCTTCCTTTTTTTTTTTTTTTTCTATGTGATTTTTGTCCTTCACTGTGTTAACGTGGTATATCAGATTAATTGATTTCATATGTTGAACTGTCCCTGCATCGAGGGATAAATCGAACTTGGTCATGGTGTATGGTCCTTTTAATGTGCTGTTGAATTTGGCTTTTGCCAGCATTTTGTTGAGAATTTTTATATCTGTACTCATTTGGAATATTGGCCTGTAATTTTCTTTTCTTGAGGTGTCTTTGGCTTTGGTGTCAAGGTTTCAAAATATATTACAAAACTATGGTAATTAAAACAGCATGCTACTGGCATAAAGACAGACATATCGATCTATGAAATCAAACAGAGGTCCCAGAAAAAAATCCACACATGTAAGGTCAATTGATCTTCAACAAGAGTGCCAAGAATACATGAGGAAAGGACAGTTTCTTCAACAGATTGTGTTGGGAAAACTGGATATCCCCATGCAAAAGAATGAAATCATTCAAAACAAATTAAATGCTAAAATGTAAGACATGAAACTGTAAAACTTCTAGAAGAAAGCATAGAGGAAATGCTTCATGACATTGGTCTTGGCAATGATTTCATGCATATGATCCCTAAATAAAGCACAGGTAACAAAAGCAAAAACAGACAAGTGACACGACATCAAACTAAAAAACTTCTGTGCAGCAAAACAATCAGGAGAGTGAAAAGAGAGCCTACAGAATTGGAGAAAATACTTGCAAACCATATATCTAATAAGTGGTTAATTCCCAAAATATGTAAGGAACTGTTAGAACTCAGTAGCAAAAATCTAACAACCTGATTTTAAAAAGGGCTAAAAATCTGAATAGAGGCTGGGTGTGGTGACACACCTGTAATTCCAGCATTTTGGAAGGCTGAGAAGGAAGGATTGCTTCAGCCCAGAAGTTCAAGACCAGCCTGGGCAACAAGGTGAGATCCCATGTATACAAAAAATTTAAAAATATTGGGCATGGTGGCATGTGTCTGTACCCCCAGGTACAGATGAGAGTATCACTTCAGCCCAGAAGGTGGAGTTGCAGTGAGGACCCGTGATCACGGCCCTGCCCTCCAGCCTGAGCAACAGAGCAAGACCCCGTTTCAAAAAAAAAAAAGTTGCACAGAAGTTATACATAACCAAAGGACCACAGGACTCAGGAACCACCTTGAAATACACTTTCAGTGGCTAAAGAAGGGCCAATTTTAGCATTAACAGGAAAATAATGGCAAGCAGTTGAAGCACTTCACCTGGGTGTTTAAATCCCTAAGTTCAGGATGGTGCAAGAAAAAAAAAAAACAAAACAAAACTAATCGGTCACCAATAGAATCAACTCATTATTTTGAAAAATGATAAATGGATAGAAATAAATCATTCATCTTTTTTTTTCTAAAAAGTGATACCATTGATAGGTCATAGATGAGAATGGGTTTTCTATTCTGGAAATATTCTATATAATAAATGAAAAGTATGATAAAATTAAAATGCCACCATTGTGTGGTTTTTGATACAGAAATGGATCCAGGCACGAGTATCAGTGGTTGCTAACATGACAAAAACGGCGATGATCAGACATTAGACTATCCCTCAATCTTACTAAATCTGTAAAATAGAGTCAGCTACCAAGTTACAAAAAATACATGAACAGAGGAGTATGTTCAAGCAGACTCAGAGACACAATCAGAGAAATCTAGGCTGTGCGAAGTGATAGGAAAAAATGTTTAAACAAATATGTTTCAAAAAGAGGAGGAGCAAATCGGAGGATTCTGTAGATCAAAAGAGACGTAAAAGACATATCGGCTACTATCTCATGTGATCTTATTTGCATCCCAATTCAAATAAAGTCTAACAGAAAACAAGCCATTTATGCTCTTTATGAAGAAATTTGAATGCTGGCTGGATAGATATTAAGTAATTACTGTAAAATATTTTAGATGTGATAGCTGGTATTGAGTTTATGTAACATTAAAGAATCCTTCTCTTTTAGAGATTTTATTGAAATACTTACGGTTGAAATATTCTGGCATCTGGGTTTTGTTTCCAGATAACAAAGAGGTGGGAAAGGTATATAGGTAAAGCAGAATTGGCAATGAGTTGGTGATTGATGAGCTGGGTGACGGCTACACGAAGGTTCATTAAACTACTCTGTATTCTGTTTAATTTTGAATAAGCATGAAATAATAATATGGTTAAAAACCTAAAAGCTTTTAAGAGAAATGTATATTACACAATAATATATTTTCTTTTGCGCTTTTTTTTTCTGTTTTGAGACAATGTCTCATTCTGTCACCCAGGCTGAAGTGCAGTGGCACAATCTTGGATCACTGCAACCTCTGCCACCTTCAAGTGTCCATCCTCCATCCTCCCACCTCAGCCTCCTGAGTAGCTGGGGCCATTTTTTTGTATTTTTAGTAGAGATGGGTTCTCTGCCACGTTGCCCAGGCTAGTCTCAAAATCCTGAGCTCAAAAGATCCACCTGCATCAGCCTCCCAAAACAAAATAATATATTTTCATCTCAAACAATGTTGAAGTATATAATTAAAAGATGGGTTGTCTAGTTTGATATCCCATTTCTGTCTTAACATTCCCTGAAGGTAATCACTTTAATTCTATACTGATGCAGACAAAAGTTTTATGTGGTATGTATTATATAAATAATATGAATTATATATTTACGTATGTAAATATATTTTGGTGCAAGAAAAAGCTGAAGTTAAACCTTAGCTATTATCAAATGCTGACTGTGAGTCATTTCATGTATTCATGTGAGACAAGTTTTTTTTTAATTCTGGATAGATATATATATCAAACTGTTAACAATATGGGAAGAAAGTAATATTTTTTTTTTTTTTGAGTCAGAGTTTCGCTCTTGTTACCCAGGCTGGAGTGCAATGGCGCGATCTCGGCTCACCGCAACCTCCGCCTCCTGGGCTCAGGCAATTCTCCTGCCTCAGCCTCCTGAGTAGCTGGGATTACAGGCACGCACCACCATGCCCAGCTAATTTTTTGCACTTTTAGTAGAGACGGGGTTTCACCATGTTGACCAGGATGGTCTCGATCTCTCGACCTCGTGATCCACCCGCCTCGGCCTCCCAAAGTGCTGGGATTACAGGCTTGAGCCACCGCGCCCGGCAGTTCAGTTTTTTAAAGCATCTGTTTCAGCTAGAATTGTTCCATTGAAAAAGCTGGTTAGTTAATCACAATAGACTTGTCCAGGAAAGAAAAGGAGAAAATAAAACTCAGCAAGCATAGAAACATAAATAGAAACTAAGTATCATATCTACAAGGACCTTATGTAAAAACACTTAGTGTGTGCATGTATCTTCTTATTCTCTCTTCTGACAAGAAGCAGAAAGATGGATTTGTAGGGTCCTTCTGCACGCAGGGAACCACCTACTCCCACCATCTGTAAAGGCAGCTCCATATGTTCTATAAAATCAATGTAATCTTTTTGTTAAAATTTCTCCAATTAGGGAGATAATGTTTCTACCAGTTTTCCCACGAACTCCTTATAAACACTTATACAATTATATTTGTGTAAAAGGTAATCCATTATAAGCTATATGCAGATTAATATTGACTAATGTGAATAATTCTTCTCCACATACATACAGTAATGTTAACATGAATTCAAAAACATTTTTTTTTTTTGAGATAGGTTCTCGCTTTGTTTACCAGATTGAAGTGCAGTGGTGCAATCATAGCTCACTGCAGCCTCAATCTCCCAGATTAAGTGATCCTCTTGCCTCAGCCACCTGAGTAGTTGGGACCACAGACACGTGCCGGCATGCCAGCATAATTTTTTTGTTTTTTAGTAGAGATGGGGTCTCTCTATGATACCCAGGCTGGTCTCAAACTCCTGAGCTCAAGTGATCTTCCACTTCAGTCTCCCAAAGTGCTGGGTTGA